CTGCCGCTTCTGCCTGCATCTATGAATAAACAAAGCGTCTTCCTACCGCTGTAATTAGTATTGCCTTCGTTAGCGTCGTGTGCACGCATACGTATGTCGCACACGCACATCTTAGAGAGTGGATAAGTGTGTGCTGTAAATGAGAACATCGCGTGTTCTGAACAAACGGGTGATAGCTTAAATAAAATATCAGACCTGGCTTTTGCGTCTCCCCTAGCCTAAACTGTGGAATCTCTGAGCTATCAGCCACGTCGTCCATGGCAGGACCGATTGATCCTGCAACCACCCTAATTTAGCTCAGCCTAGCATTGTACCAGCAGCCAGGGCTGTGAACAGCCCTACACGACGAAGACATCGTCCGCGGCTACTACCAGCAGTTAAAGCCGGCAACGATTGTTCGCTTTTGCCTCTTAGATTGCATTGTACACTCTAACAATGATGATGACAAAATTGCGATGATAGTGTGCAGGTACGTCGGCGAACCGGCACCGAGGCTATTCAAATTCGGCTGGTCCTCTACACCAAGCTACCGACGTTGTATACACATATGGAAATGTCTGTACATATATACACGATGCACATGGCCAGAACTCGGCCATATTCAGGAGGGGGAGGGGGGGGGGGGCGGACTTCTTTGAAAATTTCAAAGAAGTCCGCCCGCATGTTTGTCAGTGCCGTAGGTCAAGATTTCTAGACGCGGCCGGCGACAACATTTTTTAGTCGCTGTAGAAGCAGTCGTAGCATCGCGGCCGACTCAACTTCATTTCCGCATCGGGCTGGTTTTGCAATGCCGCCCAGCTCAAACCCATGCCGGCTGTTCACAAACCAGCAATGCCTGGCTAATCCAGTCCAACTCGAAACAGCAAAACACCCTTTGGCCTCCCCGCATATATATTCTTGAGTTACTCATAGCTATCTCAATCGCTTTTTCTCGTTCAAAACAAACTTTTGCCCGTGCCTTTACTATTACCCTGCTTCTCACCTGTGCGGTATCTGTCGCACTTGATCTCTGGTCTTGCTTCATCCTCTAACTAGACGGATCGCAGTAGAAACCAACGTATCCGGAACACGCGCCTACAACTGATAGGTGATTATTCCTTGTCCTATTCTTTTTTCGTCTGTCGAAATGCACGGAAGCGTATTGATACTGTCTTATAATTCACAAACTATGCTTTCCGTGAAGTTAAAGCGTTCATTTATACGTGTGCCAGCCAGCCATACATTTAGAGCACTGGCGTACACTACGGCTCTTAGTGGGATTCCCGGGGCGGATATCAAAAGGAAGGGAAACAATAGAGAGCTAGGAAAGACCGCTACATGAATTTGTATTCAGAAGAAACTCAGATATGAGTTCACATCGACGTATAGCTGGTGCTCGAAGGTAGCGGCAATCGCCTAGTGCTAACATCGCAGTATCACGCGGAGATACTGGTAGGAGACGAAATCTTATATATACGTAAGTTCGATTCTGCTGTCTCCATGCTTGGCGTTAAGAACGAGCGCGTCAACACATCTATAATTTAATACATAATAGTAACAGTATGAGTTTGTTGCTGGTATTGTTTTGCAGTGAAGTAGATTGACTGCTAAATATTTCGGCGCAGTACGGCACCATGTCCTTGGCATTAGCGGACAAATGTACTGACGGCAATGTCGAATTCTATAGACGCCTTATCAGCCAGAACCGAAGTGAGCATTGGCACCTTTGTATTCCTTTGAGGTATTTGTTTCATTCAGCTCGCACGCATTTGCTTTGCTATGTAGAGTAAGCAAGCTGCCAATATGCCTATAGGCTTTCTTATTGCTACACAATCTGTCAACGGTTGACTTTGGTTTCCGTGTCGCAAGCCCTGCTGATACTACTCCCGCTATTCCAACAAAGAAACATTATACATTTGATATACAATAAATCCGAGAACCAATTAAAGGTGGAATATTTTTAGACACTAAGTTGCTCGGCTCATTGTTAGTCGGTATGGCCTCTGCGACTTTGGTCGGCGGCGACGGCAGCAGCAGCGGACTCACTGAGCTAGGGGCCAGATAGCTAGAATAAGTTTTATATTGCAATAGTGCGGGATATTAGAAGCTATCTTCTCATATTGTAGACCAAGCCTCATCGACACTAGATGCCATCCAGAAGCCAACGAAAAAGAGCAAAGGAGGGGTTAACTCAATGAACGTTGGGAAATCCATTGGCAGTGTAGGTTGTTGGAGACCTCGAATGGATGCGCCGCCTCCGTGGCCAACAGCAGACGATGTCAAAGTCGACGAAGTAACGGAATTAGTTTCTGTGAAAAGCTTCCTTTCTCTATTTGTCTTATCTCTTTCTGTCTGTGTTGTTCCTTATCGATCATTATCACCTTTCTCCTCCTTCGCTTCCTCTCTTGGATGAAAAGCGACATGACGTGTGTGTTTGCCACCCAGCCAGCTATCAGATAAATAATGCGTAGATGGGCTAAACAGCCATCGAACGTCACTGGCAGCAGCGGCAGAAGTCTCGACGTCGACCGCCAGCACCATCTCGTCGCCGGTGCTGCTGCAATAACGTAACAGCAGCGGCAGCAATATCAGCCAGTCTTTGTTCAATTTTTTTGAATTGGCTGGCTTGATCTGGGTTGCCCGGGTGAGCGTCCGTGACCACTAGACTGCTAACGACAACTACGACTTGCGGCCGCAGCTGCAGGAAAACCCGTATCCGCTCAGTCGCTAGCCATTCCCCAGCTGCTTTTTTTCGCTCGTGTCGTTCGATCCATCGCCGATGTTTCTTTCTATCGCTAACGCTACTGTTCGTAGTAGTAGTGGTAGTAGTTGTAGTTGTCCTTGCTTTCTCCCTCTCGTCGTTCTCTTTTCGTTTATTTCTCCGGCGTCGCCGACCTGATTTCGAGCAAATTCCAAGCAGGTTTCTCTTCCGACCGGTCGGATAAGAGAGATGGCCTTTTCTTCTGAGTGAAGCCTGGATGAAGGGCCTTCCTCTTCTTGTTGCATGGCGCGCCGCTTCTTCACGCTTCTTCAAAGAAGCATACGGTGCAGCAGCACTAACAGTAACAAACAATAACAGCCAATGGAAAAGCTACAGGCTTCCAGAACGTAGACGAGGATATAGACAACTTACTCTTTTATGGTGACTATACGACGATACTCTGCTACTGCTGTTGGCTAAGAATGCCGGCAACTGAGGATACCGAACGACACGGAAGAGGTAGATATACTCTGCGGATTTCTGCAGTGGTAGCCTGAACTTTGACATGTTACTTTAGTTCAGCGTCCAACACCACTGCAAGTGTGCGCATGCTTCTGCGTGCTCCACCCGCTCTAAGACTACGGCGGCAGAAACTTGATGATTCGGCGAGTGCTCCACATTTATGAAGTACACAAGTACTGAGGCACATCCACATCTAAATATATATGCAGGTTCATACAGACACGCACATATGTGTGCGCGTAGCGGGAATATAGACCAAACACCGCACAAATTCGTGGGAAGAATAGAACGACGGGCGCTGCCGTTACAGCGGATCAGCCCTGGCACCTACCAGACTATCGGCAACGACACAGATCCAAAACAGACAAAAGAGACGCACACTAAACACGACGCAAACACAGACAAATCCAGCCACTGGACGAAGCGTTTTTTTCTAAACAAGAGCAAAGGCAAAAGGACCAAACAAGAAGCGCAAGAACGAGGGAGCTTGTCTGCGCCAATGAGCTGACGCCTGGAGGACGCCCAAGAGGAGGGGTGAACTCGGCTGCTTATCGAACATCGGGAAAACGAGCAGGAGGAAGAAACGCCAACTGAAGCTGGTAGAGAAAAGTGGCGGATACCGAAATTGATGGACCGAATAGACACATGGCTTGCTGCCGTACCGCCACTATCGTTGTCGCCGTGGCTGACGCAGCAGTGCTCTAGGCAGCAGGAAAAAAGGAAGACCAAATGACTGCGGTGGCGAAAGCTGGGTCGAAACGATGACCAAATTTAGGAGAGACATGCAGCCGAGATAGAGGGTTGCAGAAGCGACACTTCCCATAATGTCAGAGATTGTTAGAGTAGGGCGTGCTATAGTGAATAACTTGTTCTCTTTGTAGAAGGCTGCATATGAGTGTTGCTTGGGAGCATGAAGCAGAAATCGAGTAGAAAGGGTTCGATAGCGTGGGCGAACGCCAAACGTAAAGACACGTCAAATATCTAGAAGCTACGTCCAC